AGATGGAAGGTGAAAGATCAGATCTCGATGGGGGCCAACTGAACTGAGCCTTGAAGTGTTCAGCTCATCGATCAAGACGGCGTTGCTGAACGTGAATCAGTGTGCCATCGAATTCCTTAATTACCTCACTCACGCCTGCTTTCCTGGGGCCTGTATTCCTAGTTAGACGGAAAAGATTGCGACTATTGCCGATAGTCGCAGTCTTCTCAATTTCTCTACACTTTCCTACCCACCACTTCTCGCGGTCATTCCTCAAACTCTTGATGAGCTGGCGTTTAAGCCACCTGCACGCTGTGCCATATATGGCATCCGGAGGCAGGGTTCTGCGGACGTCCAGAAGGGCAGCCGAGGTCGACGAGATCCATCGTTTGTGTTTTGAACCTACGCCAGGGTCCGACGTTGTTTGTAATGATATTTGCATAGCTTCCTTAATTTGCTTCCAGTGTACATTGAGTCCTTCGACTGGTGAACTGACAGGCGATCAGAGAGTTCCGCTTCGAAAGCCGATTTGCAGCCACCGCTGGCGCTGTATCGCGGGTATCCGTTGTCCGTGGCTTTCCTGTGTTTGTTTATTAGGTGTAGGGAGAATTTGGCGCGCAACAAGGCGTTGTCTGCATTCACAGGTGTTGACCAGTAGGAGCGGCAATCTTGACTTGGTCCCCTCCAACAGTCACTGATGACGATGTGGTCGATTTGGATCTAGCGCTGTGAAGAGGTTGGTGGTTTCCATGTAAGACGGTGGCGTTTCTTGTGCGAGAAGTTCGTGTTTGAGAGGAACAAACCGTGGTCCGCGCAGAGTTGAAGTAGGCGATCTCTGTTGTCCGTCCGGTTGGCTGGGATTGTATGTCGTCCGCGAGGAAGTCTTTCTGATTCGTCCAGGGATCCCACTTGAGTATTGAAGTATCCGGCGACGTTCGTTGATCGAAAACTGTGGAGTAGTTGAGAAAGGTCCTTGCATAATTCATCCTTTATTTCAGTTGTACTGCAATCGGTCGGTGCATACAGCAATACGACGAATAGGTATCTACGCTTCGTTCTGTAGCTGTTGGCCTGTGGTGAACCGTTGAGACTTACAGCGCACAGTCGGCTACTGACTGGAATCCAGTCAGGAAGCGAGCGTTCAGCCTTGGTACTTAGCGAAGTCCCAACACCAGCAACACCGCGAGCTTTGGATGCCGAATCGCCTGACACGCGAAGGGTGAAGCGTGAGGTCGAGGTGGGATCAGGAGAACACAGAGAGATAATAGAAGTGGGGTCTTGTATGTGTGTTTCGGAGACACAACATACATCTAAATTGAAAGTTTCAAGGGTTCTATCTAAGGCAGCTTGTTGACCGATCTGATAGAGTGTGCGGACATTGAACGCGGCTAAGTGAAAAGGAGATTTTGGCTTCAAAATTCTTGTAACTCCTGGTCGTTTGACCTTGCTTGTAAAATGCTGATTGATATTCGATGGGTGGCGTAAACAGGAGGCATCTGGGA